AAGAAAAACAAAAAAACAAAACAAGTGCAGGAAATAATTGGTGACATTAATGCCTGAATGGGGCTGGAGTAGAGAGAAGGGCTACAGTAGCTTGTTGGTCTAGGAACCTAAGAAGTTTTCCTTTCCCTCAGAGACACCTCAGACTCAGTAAGATAGGAGTTGTGAAAATTTGGTTTCAGAAAGAGCCCTTCTGGGGCTAGAATTAGCAAAGGTTGAAAGGAGCTTGGGGCTTCCCATGTGGCACTAGAGGTAAAAGAACCCGCCTGCCAATGTAGGGGACTTAAGAGATGTGGGTTCTATCTCTGGGTCGGGAAAATCCCCTAGAGATGGGCATGGCAACTCACTCCATTATTCTTGCCTGGAGAATCCCATGGACAGAGGAGCCTGGCAGGCTACAGTCCATAGGGTCTCACAGAGTCAGAGACAGCTAAAGAGACAGCAAGGCCCAGCACAGTATGTAAAGGGACTCGGGAGAGGAGCGATCACTAATGGCCCTCAATAGCCCATAGAACACAAACGATCCTAGTTTCTCACAGTTCCTCATAGTGGATGATATTGGTGATGGGTGGGATCTAACCGTAGTCATCACTGCTTCCATTTAAGCCTTGCTTAGTTTCTAAATCTCAAATCTATCCCATTTCATATATGTGCAGATTTTTTATTCAAGAGACATGCTATGCCATAGATTTAGTACTCAGTGAAATATTGAAATACTGAAATATTGAAGATAATATGACTAGGAAAAAAATTAGTCACAAATCTTTTAGAATTCAAAGTCACCAAGTGAAGGATTTCCCACTTTTAGGACGCAGAATTCTAAGCCCTATACCTAAAAGAATCCCATATGAATCAACTCTAGATAGAAATATAAATATTGATTTTATGTATCATAACATTTTAACAAAGTTTGAAAATTGTTACTTGACTTCAGCCTTGAGTAATATCTGTGAGATATGGACCAATGAGTTATGGTAGTGCAGTAGAGAGAAGAAAGATTAACAAGCACTGGCTTCAATGAATGCTTCCCTGCTGGCTCAAATGGTAAAGAATCTGCCTGCAATGCAGGAGACCCAGGTTTGGTTTCTGGGTTGGGAAGATCCCCTGGAAAAGGGAATGGCTACCCACTCCAGTATTCTTGCCTGGAGAACTATGGACAGAGGAGCTTAGAAGGCTATAGTCCACAGGCTCCAATGATAGTCTCATTCCTTCTAACTATTCAGAATGGCTTTAGTTCATTGAATATATTAGGTAATAGTATTTAGATTGGACATAAAAATCCTGGAATTTCTCAAAAATTTAATCATAAAAGTAAATGAAGGCAATTTTGCATAAGGTCAAAAAATATCAATGAAGCCAAGAAAGTAAAGTTATGAAATGGGAAAATGAGAAGTTTATGATTTTCCTAGTTGCCAGATTCCAGCTCTTTACCTTCAAAGTTCATTGTGTAGACAAGTGTGTAATAACTGGCTGGTTATGGCTTTCTCTTTTCCTAGTGAAGATTCTTCTTGCTTAAATAACATACACAGGCATCTCTGGCTACGCCTTAATCATAGTTCTCCCAGAGGTCCATCAACTCATTGATGTCTGTGCTGTCAGCCACAAACATAAAGAAATCCCTGGGAGAATAGACCCAACTGGGGCTCAGATTCACCTTCAGCCTTTGTGGGAGCTGATGCATAGGCCCTGTGCTTACAAAGCAAGAATGTTGCCTTGCTGGTAGTTATGGTCTATTTTCTCATTCATTGCAATTATTAACATAATAGAAGATACTCATTGGCTTGCTCCCTGTCAGTCATTAGAATTTCCAACTACGAGTGGTACCCAATTTATTCTAGGATAATGCAACACTTAATAGGAATTTTGATCCTATCTATTTCTACTATAAAAAGACAAATTTAGATTATAATGAAAACAGATTAATTTATAGTCCCTCTAATCAAGAATACTAAGCACTATTTTTTGTGCCTTCAGTGGTTGATAAACCCTGTTCATAAATTTCCAGTTTTAAAATTGAAAATAAAAAAGAACACATTTGTGATGAAGAGTACATTCTGAAGTATTTTTTTTCCTCAGATAATACTATGAAAAAGTATAGTGGAATCATCTATTTTTATCTATTAATAATTTATAATTTATATAATCCTCCTTACTAATAGCACCTAAAGATAATAAATTCTTTGACTTACAGCATTAGTGTATATGTCATATTTAGCTAGAAAACTTAAATAAAATATTTTACTTTACCTTGCTAAAAAGAGGCATCTTATATTTCTTAGCATCCTGCAAAGAGTTTACCAAAGTACAAATGCTAAAAAATTCCCTAAGAGGCAAGAGCTAGTCTTTATCAAATTTTGAAATTTTTTTTAAAATGTCCTTTTTATTTAAATACCTTTAGAAATAACATTTTTATGTTAGATACACAAGGTAACTATTAGATATACACTATGATACAAATTTTCACTGAGACTCAGGGAAGTAGAGATACCCAGGCATAGAGATATTACAGAGGAATAGACATCTGTATGCTGAAAGTAGTAGATTCATAAACCTTGTACTAAGCTACAGACATCTTGTCTTTCAACCCTATAACTTTTCTTAAAATCTTTTCCCACAACATTTAGTAATAAGAAGGCAAGAGATGGGCTAGATCCCTGGAGGCAAGCCAGTTCTGTTCCCCAAGGCTGTTTCTACAGAAGGATGTACCTGAAGTGGGTATGAGAGAGAAGGAGGAGGCCCAACCCCACATTCTGCATTTAAGAGACGACTGGTGTCCACACTCTGGAAGGAGCATGGCAGGTATGCATGCTGTCTGCTTCAGATGGGATTTGTTTCCCAAACATTAAGTCCCCTACATATGCACAGGTTCAATCTGAAAGTGTGTCCATAAGTCTGGTTTGTTCCTAGATCCAACAAAGTTAACCTAGGTACCCAAATAACAAGGCTTCCCTGATGTCTCAGGCAGTAAATAATCCACCTTCAATGCAGGAGATGCAAGAGACATGGGTTCAATCCCTGGGTTAGGAAGATCCCCTGGAGAAGGAAATGGCAACCCATTCCAGTATTCTTGCCTGGAAAATCTCATGGACGGAGGAGCCTGGCAGGTTACAGTCCATATCATCGCAAAGAGTTGGACATGAATGAGTATGCACTTAGTTAACTAACATAATCAACTAACATAAGCAGCTATATAGTACTGTACTCTAATATGTTTACAATACTTTTTACACAAATAGATAAAAAAAACAAATATAAAAATTAAAGAAAACATTTTAAATCTTAAAGTATACTATCTTGAAAACTATAGTAGTACAGTGCAATAGCTGGCATACAGGTGCTGGCAGTGAGTGAACAGGCAAGAGGAGTTACTGCCTGGAGGAGGGAGAAGAGGTGGGAGATGGTAGAGCTGAAGGGTCATCAGCACTAGGAGATGAAGAATAAGCTGCAACTTCACTCACACCTGAAGTTGATGGAACACATGTTCACATCTTTGAAAGTTTGTAACTTGAGGGTTCATATATAGGGGCTTACTGTGTAACTGAATCACTTTGCTGAACACCTAAAACTAACGTACAATTGCAAACCAAATATAGAAAAAAAAAATACTCTTATTCACACAAGGGCTATTCCTCACTGAGTAGCCAGACATTTCTTGTCCTTTCATTGATCTTCTACTTCAGTGATAATATATCTGCTCTCTTGACCTAGAATTGTGTCATCCTAGGTTAGGTAGTTTAGTCCAGGGAGTCTTTATTTTTCTTAAGGGGTAGGGGTGGAGCTAAGAAGTACTTGTGAAGGTCACAGCCCAGGAAAACTGATGCACTAAAGGCTGAGTTTTAATTATACAATTATGGGCTGCTTCTCCTCCCTCACTCCTTACCATCATATCAACAGGACTCCAGTAAAATAACAGTGGATTGCAGCTGAAACTGTTGTAAGGGGCAGACTCTATTTCATGACGATGTGTTCTTAGGGAAGTGTACAGACAACAGGGACATCAAAATACAAAACAAAGCAAGGATGCTAGAGAAAGTTGAAGTCTCCATCACTGATGGATTCAATAAACATTAAACGTATTCCAACTCCTAGTGTCTTGTATCAATTCCTCTATTCCTCAGTGTGATCACAAGTCATGGTTTTAAATAATTTCAGATTACTTAGCTGCCTCACTGGTATAAATAAGTAGAGAAAACCAGGAGGAACACTCAGGACAATGTCTCCAGAGTAGACAGTTTCCTCCCATGTTGTCACAGAGAAATGGACAGAGTTCCCTGGAAGCATAGGAGGAAGCTTATTCTACCTGTTCTCTCTATGGATAACCTCTGGATATTTTAATTTGGGATTGAGGTCTCAGTTTTATTGTAGATCCCTTGCTTTTCCATTCAGCTTCATGAAGTAACCACATATGTGTTTTTTTGTTTGTTTGCTTTTTCTCCCTTGGAAAATTAAAATCCAGATCTTGGCTATAATCCACTCCTTAAGCGAGCAAGAACTGATTGATTTTCTTGTCTACAATTTATTTTTTATCTTGAGTGTGTTTTTGTCATGCTCTCACCATCTCACCATCCTTAACCAATAATAAAATGGTTTCAATAGAACTTCTTCCTTGTCTGATGCTTAGCTACACTCCATGGATCATTCTGGGAGAAGGAGAATGTGAGAGATGGATGCCATTGTGGAGGATGACATGGGAAGAACAGAGGGGAAAATGGGGAATGAGTAGAAAATGGTGTTGAGGATGGATGAGGACCTAACAAAGGAAGGATGCCTCAGGAACCAGCATGTTATCACACATTCAATATGCATCTTCCTTTCTGACCATCAGCTGACCTGACTCCACCCTTGAGGGACACAGCTTAACCTTGACCAATGACTTCTAAGACAAGGAGGAGCAAGGGGACAGAAGTTCAGCAGTAAAGAATAAAAGGCCACAGCATCCCGCAGCAGCACACACTTGCTTCTGATGCTTCTGTGATCACCTGTAAGCTCCACGACTTGATATCATGGTGCATTTTACTGCCGAGGAGAAGGCTGCTATCACTGGCCTGTGGGCCAAAGTCAATGTGGAAGAGGCTGGTGGCGAGGCTCTGGGCAGGTAGGAAATGGACTTCTCGGGGGAGGATGGTGAATATGAGCCTGGAAAATTGACCAGAAAATTCTTCAAAAATTTTCAAGTTGCTTATTTTCCATTTGTTGTGTTTCCACCTCATAGGCTCCTGGTCGTCTACCCCTGGACCCAGAGGTTCTTTGATAGCTTTGGCAACCTGTCCTCTGCCTCTGCCATAATGGGAAACCCCAAGGTCAAGGCCCATGGCAAGAAGGTGCTGACCTCCTTCGGAGAAGCTATTAAGAATTTGGACAACCTCAAAGGTGCCTTTGCTAAGCTGAGTGAGTTGCACTGTGACAAGTTGCATGTGGATCCTGAGAACTTCAGGGTGAGTTCAGGAAGTGTTCATGTGTTCCCTTTGGCTTTTTACTTTGGAATAATAATGGAAGTTGAGTGTTTTAGTGGAAAGACTAGCAAAGATCTCAGAAATCATAGATCAAACTTGGTGTTAGGAGGACAGACTTCCAGTGGGCATACCGAGACCACCTTGGTTCAGGACTAGTGACATAAAGATCTACGAGCAGCCTTACAGTGTTTGCATGCTAAGTCACTCAGTTGTGTCAGACTCTTTGTGACCCCATGGACTGTAGTCCACCAGGCTCCTCTGTCCATGGGATTCTCCAGGAAAGAATACAGGAATGGGTTGCCATTTATTTTTCCAGGGGATCTTCCTGACCCAGGGATCAAACCTATATCCCTTACATCTCATGCATTGGTAAGCAGGTTCTTTATCACTAGCACGAGAATGCTACAATGAGCAGCCTTAAGTTTGCTTAAAAATTTTCAGGAACTTCTGTCAGAACTAGATGTATTTACCCCAGAGAATATCAAAGAATAGCATATTTTTTCAAGAATAAATAAAATCTGGATTTTGATAGATGAAGTCCGATCTCAAGGAAAGAGAAATATTTTATGTGCTTCCTGATAATTGACATTTAGGAAGATATTTGGGAGAAAAATTTTTTATTCAGATTGTCTGAAAGAAAATTAGATCAATTTCCTATTAAATTACCTATCAATATTGTGACTAAGTGGAGGCTTATAGTTGCATTGATTGGAGGCTCTACCAAACTCTTTCTAAGAACCCATGCATCCTTAAAATCCTATGAATATAAAAATTAGAGATAGGGAGAGAGGCAAATAAAAATAGTGAAATAGGAGAAAGGCAGGGCATATAGGTAAACAAAATGTTGAATGGAGGGCTCATAGAATTTAAATTAAACTGAAGGACTAGCTCATCTGAGTTTATTGTGTAGATACAACCCACAGAACAGTTTAAGATGTGGACTTGGGAGTGGGTGTAGGTACTAAGCCATTATATTCTGCAATTATTTAGGAAATTTATACTTGGCATACTTAATTGTTATTCTGTCTCTCACCCAATAGCTCCTGGGCAACGTGATTGTGATTATTCTGGCTACTCACTTTGGCAGAGAATTCACCCCTGATGTTCAGGCTGCCTGGCAGAAGCTGGTGTCTGGTGTTGCCACTGCTCTGGCCCACAAATACCACTGAATCCTCTTTTCAATTCACCATTTTGTGTCCCCAGTGCCTTCCTTCTGCCCATGGGGACTGGGGTTTGGCCTTGAGAACCCAGCTTCTGTTTAATAAAGTACATTCTATTCAGGGATCAAAAATTAACATTGTGTCTTCTCCGTCATTTAATCTTGTGCTAAAGGAGAAACAGTTCATTAGCTGAAGGCTGGGTAGAGACATAGGAAGAAATAAGAATTCTTTGAGAAAGAAGCATGTGGAGAACTCATCAGTGGAAGACAGACATTCTGGTAGGGTTCAGGATGATTGAGAGAAAGCTAAGGTGGGGAAAGATGTTTTCTGGGGTGGGAAATGTTTATTTTAGTGGTTGGGGACTGACTGCCACAGGGCAGTGTGGCAAAAACTTACTGTATCAGGAAGGCAGAAGTAGTAAGTGGTATCTGAGAAAAAACAAGATTGTTTTATGGTACATGTCAGAGAGTTTGCAGAAAAAAATAAAAGTTTTGTAGGGATTCATCATCTAGACTCAAGTTACTATTTCAGTTTACTCTAATGTACATTTAAACTCAACTAAGTTGTCATATATCTTATGAGATTAAATTGGAGACAAGGAGATGAGTTGAGGGATGACTGAGAATTTTCAAAAAAATCTCCATGAACCAACAACAACATACCCTTTTCTAAAGGATTTCAATGTGTCCTTACAAAGCCAAGGCTAATACACTTGAAATCATTCTGCATCTTATTCTGATTGAATGTAATTTACACTAAAATAAAATTAAAATTAGGATAGTATATAAATTGGGGGGAAAGGAGGATGACCAAGACTTCACATAGGAGATAAGATACTAACAAAGTCTTGAAAGGTTGTTGCTGAGCCATGAAAGATGCTGGGATTCTTGGCCTCTGGAGGAGAGGAATTCAATCCAGGACCCAGAGCTTTTGTGTGATAAAGTTTTTTTAAAGTATAAAAGAGATAGAGAAAGCTTCTGACATAGAAATCAGAAGGGGGCAGAAAGAGTACCTCCCTGCTAGCCTTAAGCAGAATGTTGTATACCTATCAGCAAACTGTTAGAAAAAGTAGATGTCTGAAAACTAAGAGTGGCACCAGACCCCTCACCCACAACCTGCATTTTGAGACAACACTGGCACCAGGTGAGTCATCCCGGGCCATAAAACGATTGACATGAGTCTTGAAGAAAGGCAGGTTTCCAAGTAAATATATAGTTTCATTAACATCGATTAGGAGAACAGTGTATGAGTAAAACATACAGGTTTGTTGAGCCCTTATTGGTTCTGAGTCTTAAGTGGAACCAACTTGAAGAAAGAGCCTAGGATAAGTACACAGTTCATTAACATAGCTCAAGAAATTTCTATAAGAAAAACACATTGGTTAGCTCAAGGTTTGAGAAAAATTAAGTTCAGATGGAGCCAGGTGTCATCATGGCAACACAGAATTTTGAAAGAAACCTCTTTTCAAATTTGTATAGAGAAGGGAAAAAAAAAAAAAAAAAAACCTAACACTTGTAGTTTGTTTCCTCCGGCAGATTAAGAGAGAGAGAAAAATTGTCTGACACTTGCAGCCTGTTTCCTCCATTTGGAGACCCCTGGCCTTTCTGCCTGTTATCCTCTCAGTATTGTAGTCTAAAATTAGCCAGCCAGGGCTTGGTAACATGCATGAAAATGGCTCTCTGGAAGTGGAAGAGAGAGTGAGACATAGATAGAGGATTAGGAAAGACTAAATAATATAAAGCTTTGAACATACAAATAAAAATTGCTCCTATGATAGTAGCAAGAGTAAACAATAAGTATTCTAAGAACTTTAAATGACTCAAGGAGTAGGATTTAGAGGGGGGAAGTAATCTGCTTAATTCACACAAAATGAATTGAAAATTGCAGAGCCTAGACATGGATGCTAATTGAGGAGAACAGACATAATGGCCTCAATCTAAGAAGAACAGTGTGTTCATTTGTTCTGACTTTTTGTGACCCTATGGACTGTAGTCGACCTGGCTCCTCTATCTATGGGATTTTCCTGGCAAGATTGCTGGAGCTGGTTGCCATTTCCTCCTCCAGGGGATCTTCCTGACCCAGTGATGTAACCTGAATCTCCTGCTTGGCAGGCAGATTCGTTACCACTGAGCCACCAGGGAAACCCTGTAAGAAGATCAAGGGGGTCTGCAAAAAGTGAGGATGAGTGAAGAAGGGGAGAGTGAAAAGGACATGTTTTCTGATTGGCTAGGGTGGATGAGAAGGAAGGGGGTGGCAGCAGATGAGAAAACTCACAGCCTGGTTCTAAAAAGAAGAGGCCTGCAATGATCTGGGGACTTCATGTAAGAGAAGTATGAATTGAATCGTTCTTGAGGGAGTTACTGCCAGATTGCTCAGGGAATCATGAGCTTCAGGCTTTGAGTCAAACTGTCCTCTTGAGGATTGGCAAACTTAGCTCTATGAGGCATTCATTTTATTGCTCCCACACATTAATTGCAATATGTCCTGTGAATTACCTTCTAATTTGGCTTTTTGTCTTTGCAATAGGGGCTTCCCCTGTGGCTCAACTGGTAAAGAATCCACCTGCAATGCAAGAGACCTGGGTTCAATCCCTGGGTTGGGAAGATCCCAATAGGGCTAGGAGACCAGTGATTACCTTGATGCAGACTGTCAACACACTGGCGTCTCTGTGCTCTGTTGCCTGTTTATTGATTTGACTGCATTGAATCTTAATAATGGATGGGAGATCTTTGTTGCATCTCAGAGGCTTAGTTGCCCTGCAGCAAGTGGGATCCTAGTTCCCTAATCAGGGACTGAAGCCGTGTCCCCTGCATTCTAAGGAGGATTCCTGTCCACAGGACAACCAAGGAAGTCCCCCATTGCCTCTTATTATGCTCCTAAACAGAATAAAGAGAGGCTCTCTGTGGCACCAAATCTTTTCACCCAGTCAGTCAACAAATGAGAGCAATGTACTTTTTTTAATCAATCAATCTCTTTTTCATCCTTCTTGCCTCTCAACTATTATTCTGACTCTGAATATCAAAGGGTCAAGGATGGTGATGATGAAGGAGCAGGCAAAAGATACATTCTTTATCCCTTAATGATCTAGGTTTAGATCTAGATTTCGCCAGTTCAAGAAAATTTAACTGAAAACAAAAACATATAATTTACACACACATGTATGTGCATATATTCAGGTCTAGAGGACTCAAATTTTTAATAGGTGAAAAGATGTCTAATTATTGCTGATGGACCATAAAAGCCAGCTGAGAAAAATAATGTGATAAAACAATTATCTGGGAATATTAATCTAAGAGTCAGAGGGTTTAGAGATTGTCATTACCAGGTTTAAAATCCTATAATGGCTTCTTACTCCCTATCACTGAAGAGAAGTTCTATGTTATGAGGTTTATGCTTTCTCTGCAACAATATTTTCTGCCATTGTCACTTTTACTATTTATATATCAACCACACCAGCACATCACTCATATCTCTAGCATACC